TCTAGTTGCTGTATGTGGGACGCGGCCTCAGCATGGCTGGAGAAGTGGTGCGTCTGTGCGCACCCGGGATCCGAACCCGGGCCGCCAGCAGCGGAGCATGCGCACTTAACCGCTAAGCCACGGGGCCGGCCCACATGTAGGAAGTTCTAACGATAATAATTTGTCACTTTACTTGTGAAACCCAATATCTGTTATAAGTAGATAATTAAATTCTTCAATTTAATTGAAGATAATTGCTAATAATTAGAATCAAAAGCAGATTATCATTGGAGGAGGTAAGTCTGTTTTCGGCATCGATACTCAATTAAAAGCCCATTAATTTGAGAAATCAAGTACTCATTTGGGTATTCAGCTTTGAGATGCTGTGACTCTAACCTTCTAACTTGCACGTGGGCCACACACCATGACTGCTTCAGAGAGTGAACGACTTGCCTTAAACTCACTATCATCCGCAACACGCACCATTTACATAATACATGTCTCCTGATGCTTTAAAATGAGGGCACAAGCACAGAGAAGTTATTCATTGGACTGAAATCATGTTGATGTGACAAAATGAAATTGTCTCATCGATAAATAAATCGTGAGTCTCAAATAGGATTTAGTATGAGGGAATACGGCAAAAACGTTGATGTATTTACATGACACTCGGGAGGCTGACTTGAATTGACTGCAATAATTCCATCATGACTATCAACTTACATGTCAGAGTTCTTTTTGTCTTTTATTTCAATTATATTTCATGGCATTCCCACAAGAACCACCTAGGAAGCAGGTGAGGAAGGTTTATCTTATCTACTTTGTTCAGAGAAGAAATCTAAAACCCAATGAGGAAATGGGCAGGTAGCAAAGCATTCTAGTCATGTGCTCTTCTAAGCCGTGCTGATGGAACTCTGACACAAAACACTCAGACCCCAGCCAACATGTGGACTTTTCCTGAAACGAAATTATTTTCTTGACTCCTATGGGCCTATATCTATACCTGTTGAAAGTGAGTTTTAGTTGAGACCTCTCTTAAACTGGAAGACATGCAATTTTTAAAAATGGGAAACTATGACTAGATAAGAAATATTTAATCAACAAAATAGTCCAAGGAATTTGGCTACTTAGGAAAAAACAAAAATAGAAATTTGTACTTAAAGGCATTACAATTATTTGTTAAAAGAGCCTTAAAATAATGTTATGTATGCAAAGCATTATTTTAACATTGAGCCTAAATACTTAAGAGTTGACAGTTTACTCATCAGATCTAAGATACCGTAAGTAACCATGACTGAGCAAATTTTCATGGCAGATTTAAAACTGGATAAGACACCATGAAATTAAAAATACCAGTGCATGGATAATACACATCCACTGCAGAAAATTAGTACTGTAGAACATACCAATCACTGAAATCTCCTCAAATCTTTTTTGTTAGTAGGCAGAGAATCTTCAGTAAAATACTAACCTGTATCACCCCTGTTTTGAAATATAGTCATGGCTTCAAGATTTAACGCACATACACCCCTCATGAAAGCTTTCTTCATGGAATCTTCAAAGTGCTCTTTTTCATGCTGCATTCTTTGGATTTCAGCTTTTGCATTTTCCAAAGCTCCAGATAACTAAAATAAGGAGGATTTTTTAAAAAAGGAAAAGATTTAAGACACAAGGAAGGATATTATTTATTTTAAAAAATAGACATATTGTGATTTTTTTTTTTTTTTT